GGCGGCGGCGGCGGCGGCGGCGGCTCCGCGCTCCTGCCGGGCCCGGGCCGCCTGGCCATGCGGCTCCAGGGCCGGGGAACTGGGCTCGGGCCCGCGCCGCCCCCCGCGCGCCGCCCCCGCTGAGCCCGCGCCCGCCCGGGCGCCGCCCGGCACCATGGTGCAGAAGTCTCGCAACGGCGGCGTGTACCCCGGCCCGAGCGGGGAGAAGAAGCTCAAGGTGGGCTTCGTGGGGCTGGACCCCGGCGCGCCCGACTCCACCCGAGACGGCGCGCTGCTCATCGCCGGCTCCGAGGCCCCCAAGCGCGGCAGCATCCTGAGTAAGCCGCGCGCGGGCGGCGCGGGCGCCGGGAAGCCCCCCAAGCGCAACGCCTTCTACCGCAAGCTGCAGAATTTCCTCTACAACGTGTTGGAGCGGCCGCGCGGCTGGGCTTTCATCTACCACGCCTACGTGTGAGTGCCCACCCGCGCGGCGGGCGCGGGTCGCGAGGCACCCGGGCGATCGGCCGCTGGTGGCCCGTGGGCGCACAGCTGCGGGCTACGAGGGCCTCCGTGTGTGTCCGAGCGCCCGCGTCGGTCACACCGTGTGCCTGGGGTCCCTTGGTTCAAGAGAAGGACAGAGGTTGGAGAGCAATTTTGGAGACGTCTGGTTGGAAGGAGTTCTGGGGTCGGGGTGGGGGCGCCTGTCCCCCTCCCGCGCCCGCCAGCGGCCTGGTTGGGTTGCATCAGTCCCTCCCCCGCAGGATGGGGAGATGTGCAGCGCCCCAGCCTCCCCTCCTCAGCCCTGAGAGGCCCCTCCCCACGGCCACTGCACCGAACAAAGGGCCGACCAGGGAGGGAGGGCGGCGCTGCCCGTCCTGTCACTGGACCTGGACTCCTAGAGGGCCCCCTCTAGATGGGTTCCCTCAAAGCAGGGGGATGGGGGAGGGGTTGGCCCTCCTTCCAGGGTGCGCTTCTGGGGTGCTGCGGTGGCGGAGGGGTCCCGTCCTTCCTCTCCGCCCCCAGCCGTGGGCTGAGGGTAGTTAGCTGGCTGTTCCTGCCCCGTGGTGCCTGCACCCACCCCTGGCCTGGCCTGCGTCGCCCCACCCTCCCCTCCACCCAGCACAGCCTTGAGCCCCTGCCGCTGCTCGCTGGAGGAGCAGGTGCATGCCTGACGCCCCGGCGCGCGTTCTGGGCTCCAGACCCCCTTTACTGCAGAGTGGACCCCCAGGAAGAGGGGTGCCACCATCCTGGGGCCGCCAGCCCTGGCCCTGGGAGGGCTGTCGGTGTCCCTGGGCCCGTTGTTCAGGGAACTCCTGGCTCCTGCGCCAGGGCTGGTGGCCACAGGCCGGCATTGTGTGCACACGGGTGTTCGAGCGTGTGGCGTTTGTGTGTGTGTGTGTGCACGCGCGCCTGTGCTGGTGGCGAGCACGGCCTCTGAGCCTACAGGCACTCTCTCCCATCCCAGCTAGACTGGGCCAGGGACTCGGCCATTTTGTGAGAAAGAGGCATTTGGGGATGGGAGTGAGGGGTGGATTCTGGGAAATCGTCTCCGACCAAGTGCCCACCTGGGATGAGGGGGTGTGTGCCCGTGAGTGTGCCTGTGACCTGTGAGTGTGTGCTCTGGACGGACCCTCTGTGGGTGGGGGAGAAGACCCTGGGAGGAAATGCCAAGCTGCTGGAGGGATAGGTGTCCTGAGGGTCACCACAGCCCTGGAGGCCTCCTGGCCACTGTCCCCAGCCCCAGCGCTGAGCCACCCCGGGAGTCCCAAGAGGCAGAGGCTCCCCTGGCACTGAGTCAGCCCCCGCCTGCCCCAGGGAGGTGACCTGGCTCTTCCCGGGGCGGACATGCCCAGGTGCGCTCTTCCTCCTTGGAAGAGCCCCGTGCCTCCTCTCCCTGCCGGGTGGGGGCCAGCTCTGGTCAGCCAGGACCTGGCCCGAGGTGACCTCTGGTGTATGGGCACAGCCCAGCGGTGCCCCCACTCCTGTCTGACCTGTGGTGCGGCTGCTGGAGGGTTTGCTGTGCTTTGGGCACGAAGGTCCCCGCCAGCAGCACTTCCCGGGGTCCCCTCTGTGTGGCCTCTCCCTGCCCAGGCCCGAAGTGGCCGGCCCCTCCGTGCGTCCTGCGTCCTGGAAGCTGCAGCCTTCAGAACTGGGAACAGAGTGTGGGGACTGGGGGCCAGGCAGCTGCTCTTGGGTGTGGGTCTGCGTTGCCCCCGCCTCGGGAGTGCCCGAGTCAGGACAGGTGGGCCTGCAGTGTGTGAGGGTCCAGGGGCAGTGAACGGGGCAGAGCTGCCCTTGCCCCCAAGGCATTGTGGAGGCCACCGCGTGGGGTCTCCACCCTCCCGGCGCCGGCCCGGGGGTGCTCCTGAACGGCGACATCTCTGTCCCGCTGTTGCTGCTCATCGGTCACCCCCCGGCTCCCCGGGCCTGGAATTCACTAGCTGTCCCCAGGCCCAGCCCATCCTTGGGCCCAGCCCACTGGACTCGGGAGGCCTTCACTGCCCCCATCTGCTGGTCCCCAGTGGTGCGGCCTCCCCTGTGCACCCCCGCCCCCCAGCAGGGACTGGCCCTCGTCTGTTCGGTTTGTTGGTTAAACCAGTTCAAGCCCCTCCTGAGCTGGGCCTGGGAGGGGCAGTGGGGGCCGGGAGTGGTCGCAGGGCTGGGGCAGCTGCCCTCCTGGGCCACCTTCCACCTAGGCCTGGCTTCTGGAAGGCAGAGGTGTGCTGAGCCCTCTGGGTGTCAGAGGTGGGGAGGGAGGTGGCCGCCCTCTGGCCCCCGGGCTTGGTGGGCATCAGGCCGGGTGCCCCTGCCCTTTGCGGACGGGCTGTCTCCATGGACGTGCCTCTGGGCCTGGAGCCATCACCATCACTGCTGCTGCCTGTGGGGGCGGGAGGCTTCCCTGAGTCAGGAGGATCCTGGACCAGGCTGAGGGGAGCCCGCCCGGGCTCCCCCTCCCAGCCCCGAGGCCCCTGCAGTGTCCCTTCCTCTGCTCCGGCTGGAGAGGGAGAGCAGTCCCCGGTTGGGCAGGTCCCCGCCCCGCGTGGCTGTTCACCCAGACCTGGCCGGGATTCTGGGCGGGCAGGCTGGTGTCGTCCGCAGTGAGCGGGGGCCCTGTTGCGAGGAGCTGGGCCGTATGGGGTGGGGAAGGGGTGCATCTCAGCTCACCATTGCCTGCCCTTCACACCCCCAGGCAGGTCTCGGGGCTCCGAGGGTCTGTGCACCCCTAGAGCAGGGCGTCTTTACACGAGAGGATTTTCTAGCTACGGTCTAGGGTTTTCATGAGTTTCTCAGAGGGGGTGTGAGCCACAGAAAAGGCCCCAAAACACTTCAGGGATGCGTGTCCAGGCCAGTGGGGCCCCAGGGGCTACTTAAGGCAAGCCCTTGGGGGCCCTTTGAGAGCCTGGGCTGGGTGCGCTGCCCCCTCCCCTCACGGGTGGGAGCGGCAGCTGCTCCATCATGGTGAGGGGGTGGGGGGATCTCCCCAAGGCTCAAGTTAGGAGGGGAGGGGAACCGCACGTCTTCTGGGCCGGCCCGCTGTCCGCTGGTCTCAGGGGTTCCTCACTTTGTGGCCCCATTTTCACTGGTGAGGAAACCGAGGCTGAGACGGTCGAGTTCCTGAGTTGCCCCACTCACGCTGGACAGAAGGGGTCTCGGCCCAGTGATGGGAACTTGGGGTGCAGATCGGTTGACTTTTCCAACATCCAAAAGCCACTTGGAGTTGCCAGGTGAGACTGTGTTTGAAATAGGTGGGATGGAAAATGCTGGTGACTGCAGGGCAGGGACTGGCCCTTGGAGGCCGGGGCTCGCCTGAGCGGCTCACTCTTGTGAACTGCCTTCTCTCGGGCTAGTCCAACGAGCCCCCTCCGTCCTTGGATGGCGTCCAGGTGGGTCTCGGGGGGCCGCTGACATTTCGGGGCCTGTGGCTGGGGGCAGCGGGATGGGGGCCTGGGGCCTCAGGGCCCAGCTGCAGTCCCCTGCGTGGCCTCGGATAACCCACGTGAGGTTCCACATTTGGTCACGTGCAGGCCGCCCGCTGCCCCCTCTCACCTGTCCGCCCTCGGGTGGGCAAGTGTGGGCCCACGTGCTGGCCTCTCTTTTTTCCTCGGTGTGACTGCACTTAGGGGGCGTGGGGGCCCCAGGGCAAGTGGCCTTGGGTGTCTGCTTCTGAGAGGAGACTGGGGTCTGAATGGCTGTATTCTCAGCTTCTTTCAGCTCCCAGACCTCGCTGCAATCCTGGGGAGGAAATGTCTATTGATTGAAGAGTTGGAGAATCTTACGGAAATTTCCCCAAAGGTGAAAACGGTAGGAGGGTTGTGGTTTCCAGGGAGACCAGGGCTCAGTAGACTGTCCCCAGTCGGCTGTCTGGAGACCTCAGGCCTCATCGTAGGATTTCTCACCCACAATAAGACAATGAAGTGTTTTTTAATGAAGTGTTTCTTAATCACGGTGTCTAATTACACTGTCGTGAATTCCCGCAAACGGTCTGTGTCCTCAAGGTAATGGGGTCGGTAGGAAGCTCCGTTCTGGACAGTTTCACAGATCAGAACAAAGAAAAATCTGTTTTGTTAGAAACCAGTACAAGTCAAACATTGAAACTAGTCTCTACGGAGACTCGGCGGGGGGCTTCGACGTGGGCACTGCCTCGGAAAACACCTAAACCCGGAATGATTGTGAAGAGACCGGATTGTTTCCAGGAGCGCAGCCCGAGCCTGGTGGTGGATAGAGCGTCTCAGGGGGTTCTTCCCGGTCCGTTTTGGTCAGTAAGTGAATCCTAGGCTGTGTTAATCCCTGCGCGCCTGCGTGTCCACGGTGAGGCCCGGGGTCTGCTCCTGGCCACCGCTCACAGGCGTCCTGAGTCCGTCCTGGCGAGCCCGCCAGGCTGCCCCCACCCCCAGGAGCTGCGTTCTGAATGCCCCAGAGAAGGGACAGGCTCCAGAGGACTGAGAGTTCTCTGGGGCCTTTCGTGGAAGGTGCTGAGGGCCAGGATGGCGGTGGGGGACCCCGCAGAGGGCCGCACCTCCGCTCGGCACGACAGGGCGGGACGTGCTGCAGGCGCTGCGGGCTTGTGACCCTTTCCTTGTGGGGGAGGGGGGTGGGTGGGGCTGGGGGCCAGTTCTGGGGCTCACGATGCTGGGTCGGCCCTGGGCTGCAGCCTTCTGCACCTTCCTGAGCCAAGGCTTGTGAGAGACATTGGCCTGTGTCCGGTAGCCTCATTATAAACCGTGCTGCCTGGGTTACCTCGTAGGTGGGTCATTTGAAACGTTCTCGAGTGTAAATGGAGGGTCTTTCCTGCATGGAGATCGCCGGGTACGTGCCTTAGTCACAGACGTCACCTCGTCACCCCCACGCCCCCGTCAGGTGTGGTGTGAGGTTATAACCAGTGGTGGTTCAGGGGGCGCGCGTGGGCAGAGGGTGGTGAGCCGTGGGGACCGTGGGCTCTGCGTGGGCCTGGCGGGGAATCCTGCCTTGGG